TTCCAAATGAGTCGGAAAATGGGGTTAGATCCACCACTGGGGCTAGGAACTTCCTTTTTTGGGTAGCATAAAATGGGCTACGTCTAGCCGCAAAAAACAGTGGGTCCCACAAAAAAGTAGCAACCAATGTGAACAAAATTCTATCACTCTCTCTCCACTTGCGAATACACTTATACTCTCTTTTTATTTTTTTTAATTCTTTTTCCTACATATTTTTCTTGCAATTTAGCTAATTAATGATTGTTTTAAATTCCATAAGAATTAAAATTTCAAAGTTGTTGATGCACAAAATCAGTGAGGACTTTGGTACAACAGAAAGTGTTAAGTTTGTGACCTTGGTTAGATTGCTCCGGTCACTAGTATGGATAAGTATGTAAATGGATATAGATAGGGAAGCAAACACAAGATGTACGTGGTTCACCCAGATTAGCTACGTCCACGGAGTAGAGGAGTTCTCATTAATTGTGAAGGGTTTACACAAGTACATAGGTTCAAGCTCTCATTTAGTGAGTACAAGTGAATAATTTAGTACAAATGACATTAGGAAATATTGTGAGAGAATGATCTCTATTTATAGAAGAGAGTTTCTAGTTTCATTATGACATTGACACGTGTCGTGTTGTTGATAGGAGCATATTTATGCGACTTAGTTGGCTTGTTCTTGTGCATTTACGTTGTATTTCCTTAGTTATTTTAGTGTTTAAATTTATTTTTGTGTGTTTTCAGACTCTAAGTGCAAAGTATGCAAGATGATGCATTTTAGAGGCCTTTGGAGCAGTTTCGGGCTTGGAATGGATAGCAAATGCATGGGCCAAAGTGGATGGACGAATTTGAGAACTAAAGAGGCCAAGAATGTGAAGAATTATGGTCCAAAAGATGAAGAACTCAGCCAAAAAATTTGTCACCCCAGCTTGCCTTCATTGCCATGCAAAACAACATAGAATTCCCCTTGGATTCCCATGCCATGCTTGATCACTCTTGTCCCCTACATAATTTCTGATTTCATGCTTCAATTCATTTAATTATTACACTTAATTGCTTGATACCTCTTGTTCCCTTCACCCACAAAATTTTATACAACTTTCACAACCATAACATGCATCAATTGATGCTCCATCATTCACATTTGGAATCTCATGCCTTGTGTACCACATGTTGCTGCACCTTTGACCCATTTATTGACACATTTTCACCTCCCTTTCCATCTCTATGCAATGTACACAATCATTCATGCTCCCTAGCTACAAGACCACTCCATTTTACCCTTCACACTTTGCATCATCACTTCCTTTTCACCCTTGGACCATTGCACACCACATACACTCTTTGCCGTGCATTCTCCTAGCCTAACCTGATTCTCTAAGGTTTTTGGGGCCTATATATACATGTTTACACCCCTTGGCAAAGGTTTACACTCTCATATTCACCATTCATCACAGAAATTCGTTCATACTCACCCTAGGTAGCAAAACACCCCAAAAACACCATTCTAGTGCCTAGAAAACATAACAGCCACTTCACATTCTTTCCACCCTCTTTGCCTAGTTCTCCACCACCCTCCAACCCTCAAACACTCCTCTCCACACTTATCCTAAACCTTTCCATACCATTCCCCATCCATTCTACATCATAAAAACTACCCAAAAATCCGTCCACAAAGCAATCTGCCGCAAGCAAGCAAAGGAGAATTCTTGGATGCACTTGCTACCCAAGTTGGAGCATTTTAGGTGTTTTCTTTCCTTTGATTTTAATGTCTAATTTTATGTATCTTTGCTTTGTGGAGTATGAGGAACTAAACCCCTCTTAGTTAGGGGGTGATTCGAAACCATGTTCATACTTGCAATATGATTTGATTACATCCAGTTGTGATTTCATAAGTTTGTGAATTCAATTTACTTATCCGATCGTATAAAAAATGATTTGTGTATGTTGGTTGAGAGTGCACGCTTAATTTTCATGCATGAATTTAACGCTAGAATATAAGGGAGTTTCACCTAATCGTTATGAACTTATATTCACAAGTAGTGAAGGTTGCTAGTCACAATCACGTTAAGTAAATTCTTGGCATAAGTTTCATGCAAATCATAGTAACGAGTGCCTCGTCAATGCTTATGTTTTTCATAGAACTTAATGATTCTTGCTTGTATCTCTATTATGCAATTCATGTAGGGAACTTGTAGGGAATGTTTTGGGTTGTCGTATGCAATCATCCAATCCAATAACTTGTGGAAAAACTGAGGGTTAATTAGTGCAATTCACGGTTAATTTGGGGCGTTGATTATTCATAGCTTATCGAAAAGCAACTAGAAATCGTTTTGTATGCAAGTGTGACATGTGTGGAGAAGAACCTCCTAGCTAGCATTCCATCCATAAGTTTCATTCAAATTCATTTTACAATCTGTTTTGATTCACTTAAATTTGTCTAAGAATTTGTTTACTTTGTTTTTGTCTTAATTTAATTATTTTCGTCCAAAATCAACCCCATCTTATTTCTTTGAGTCATATTAATTAGAACTTGTCTTAGATTATGTTTTTAAGTGTTTTAGTTCATTAGAAAACCAAAATTCGTCCAAGTTGTGTTTAGAGTCCCAAAACTGCCCAGATTGTGTGTTTAAGGTAGTTTTGAGTGTTTAGGGGCTGTTTTGAGTCTTTTGGTTTGTTTTAGTGTTTTAAAGTATAGTTTTGCATTCTTTGAGTCTAGTTAGTGTTTTAAACTTTGTTTTTACATTTTCAAGTCAGTTTCCAAGTGATTTAGCAATCCCTCCTAATTCCCGGCCTAGAACGATCCCTACTTACATACTTTACTACAATTGATAAAAAGAGGGTTTAATTTGTGTGCTTATATATTTCGCATCAGTTGTGATTGGCTTCTGATGTTGACACGTGTCGCGCTATGATTGACTTCTGATGTGGACACGTGTCGCGCTGTGATTGGCCTCCTGGTTGGAGGGAAACTCTTCTGGGTCCTTGACGGTATAACGTTGACTGATACTCAGTAGTTTCGGGATTGGTCAAGTATGGTACAAACAAAAGTGATTTAACGTTCATGAGCATTTGTGGGTGAAATTTTCAAATATATATATATTTTTCATAATTGTGTGATACTAATTTACCAGTTAATGCTAGGTAAATTGTTGTGTTATATTTGTAAATCAAATTATTTCAGACAGCGAAGTGGGGGTTTGTATTTCAACATACGAGATTGAAATAAGAGAATATAATCCAACGAAAGGTTCATAAGTGATGAAATCTAACTTTGTTACAATTTGAACTTTTTTAGGTTAAAGATTCATTAAAAAAAAATTTAAGATAGCATGTCCAAAATTAACTTAAAAAAAATTAGCACAAAAAAAAAAATCGTATAATCAAATAACTACATAAATAAAAATATATATAGTCCCATATAGAGCCCAAAAGAAATAGCCTCTTAGTGGGAGATATTCTTTTATAAAGTTCAAAAGATTCCTCGAAGCTCTAAAATGGGCTATATCCACAACTTTTTCAGCCTTATATAGAGCCCATCGCTGAAAATGCTCTAATTGAATATATCGTACACTTTGAAGGTCTAGTCGTACGTAACATAGCGAAATTCTCCGATATGGCGATATGTATGATTTAATTATCAAATAATTAAGGGGAGCGTTATTGGCACTCCAAAAATCTCATTTTATACTTCTTACAAGTGTATTTTTCTTTCCAAATATAGAAAGTTTGGAGTGTAGAATGAGAATTTGGAGTACGAATAATAATTCCCATAATCTCTACTAATTAATAAAAGGCTTTTTTTATTAGCACCCCACATAATGTTGAATACACCCTATATTAAAATTTAATGTTAAATGACTTGTATGCCTTAATATGCAATGACTGTTTCGACCTCATAAGATTATTAAAAAAATTAAAATAATTCTAAATACACCCCAAATAACACATCCCAATATTATTTATTTTCTTCAACTCTCAAAACCATTCCCTCTCCATTGGATATAGAACAAAATCCTAATCAATAAAACTACAAAGGCGTTGACTAAAAAATTATTCATAAGAGAATCTTAATCCAAAACCAAATACACTTCACATTGATAATTGATATTCAATCAATTAATCCCAACTTTTGTCCCCATTTTCATATTCCTACTTGGGCAATTTCCATCTTTCTAAACCTGATTCCTTCAATCAAATCAATCTTCCATACCAAATCAAGTAACCCCTTAATTAGTCTTATTAGTTGGTTGTTTGGCTTAGAGAAGCAATACAAAGGCCCTCATTTGCAAGTCTTATTTTAAGGATATATGGTTTCCACATATTTTCAAGGAGAGCTCGGAAATGTTGTCCCTTTCTTTTGCGTACACATCTTCTAGGTTTCGCAACATTGTCCAACTTATCCTGGGTTGAAGTCCGAACAAAAAGAAATGGAGGAACTGAAGCATTGGCCTTTCCTTTAAATGTTGCGACCTCAAGTTTTTAATCAAAGCAATGTTACTCTTTAATCAACATTTAACGTGGCGTGGTAGAAGAAGAATAATTGTGGCTGGTTCTTGCTGGAGAAGGGGGAGGGCTAAATTTTTTTTCTTTTTTAAGATATGAAGACTGTGGGTATATGTAGAAAATGTAAGGTGTATGTTGAGATGTTGGGTGTGATGGTATTATGGAAAAGTAAGTGAGGTGTATTAAGATAAATTTTAATTAAAAAAGCAAATGTAGGGTGTATTAAGGTTGTGGGGTGCATTCAACAATATGTGGGGTGTTGATAAAATAAGCCTTAATAAAACCCTCTTTGTCAACCAAAAGAAGGTGAAAAGACAAATTAGTCTTCTATCACACAAAAAAGATGATGGGCAATAATGTGATTTCACAAGTCCAAATTTTACTGTTTTTTATTGAAACTTCACCTACAGATGATGTTAAAATATTCGCAATATTTATAAAAAATAAAAAAAAATAAAAAAAAGTAGGTAGGCAAATGCTAGTTAAGTTAATATTAAAAAAATAAGAGAGAAACGGCTTTTAACAGAAACGAAGCAAATCTTTAAGGCGTTTGCCCAGAGAGGTAAAAAACAAAACTGCGCGCGGCGGTTCACCTTCCTCAGCTTTCCCTTAACGAGGTCGTTGGCTTTTGAAATTCACTTCCGAATTCTCTCCGGTTAACCGGCCCTGCCACTTGCCGATCACGTATGTAAGCCTCTCCGTCTCGCCTCTCCAAATTCTTAGTTTCAATTTCCCAAATTTTCCGGGAAATCAAACGGAGCATTAGGGTTTATAGAGAGAACGCTAAGTCGAATCTGTGATTGCAATCTCCCGCGCGCTCTCGGAATTGTATAACAATCCATTAATTCTTAGGGATTGTGTTTTTGGTTCATGCGTTTATGCTGTAAAATTGATTGCATGTTAAATCGAGTTTCTTCTTACAGATTTGGGTTTAGGGTTTATGTGTTTGCATTTTGTAAATGGTTGCATGTTAATTCTGCCAAAAAAGAAAACAAAAGAAATTTCCGAAAGCATTTCTGCAGGAAGCACTTATGCTCATAAGTGCTTCTGCTAGGGGTGCTTTTGGTTTTTAGAAAACACTTTGAGCTCCTCCAAAAGCAGTCCCAAACAGTACCCTAGTAAAGTTTGGAAGCTTGGAATAGTTAGTGGAGTTGTTTTAAGATATCCTGATCAGTGTGATTTCCCACGCAGATATGAGACCCAGAATCCTTGCATCTGAAAATCAATGTCAGAAATGGAGTACACGGTGCGCACATTTTGGTTACTTGTCGGGGAAATAGATTTGCTTGAGTAGAAGTGTTGTTTTGGCATAGCCGGTAAAGAACTATGTTTATCTATTAAAATTTAAGAGTGTTGTTTCAGATGATATCTTCATTTGACTAACGATAGGGGAACTTTTTCTTTAGCTCTTTCACTGACCAATGTCATGATATTATCCTTCTAGAAAGTTGATATCATGTGTTGTATAAACGTAGTTTTGTGTTGTGCAGCTGCATTTTTGTTGTTATGTCAAAAGATAAAAAGGATTTGGTCGATTCAAGTGAAAATGATAAATTAGGACCAGACTACTTTGGTTACTATACACGTCTAGTGACAGACCTGTTATCAAAGGAAGAAGATTTTCCGCCTTTTGCTTCTCAATCCTCTGGCCTATCTCAAAGCAGAGGTGTGGAGGTTAGAGGAAAAGATACGATTGAGCATAGTTATGGTATTCCTGGTTCTTTATTTGGTAACAGCATAGGAACCGGGCTTTCAGATTTCAAAAAGGAAAGATTGAAGTCATTACTCAGGCAGGGTGTGAAGGTTCTTTCACCAGAAGTCGATGAGGTATGTTGGGACGCCTACTCTTAATTTTTTTTCTTAAATGGGCGCTTCAAACAAGAGAACTATGTCTCTGCGTTCATGATTTTGAATTATATGAAATGACTCTGGTAGTACTTTAATACTTTTTATACATTCGATAAAATGTCAAGAAATTGAGTCGATTCTACTTTACTGTGATGTAATTAAAAATGCTGCTTTTACATAAGGGGTATTAAGTGTGCTCACATTTCATTTAGGATCAAACTAGTTATTGCATGTTCACATTTTGTATGTATGTATGTATGTATGTATGTATGTGTGCATGTATATATTTGCTATATTCAACGGTTATTGGTTTGATTCCATATGGTTTGCGGTTTGATGCATATGTTAGTCCAAGCCTGTGAGACAGAAACTGTACTTTGTTCTAACAGTATGTTTAAATGCAGATGCTAGGACCTGTTATAGGTATTAGCCAGTTAAAATCACAGCTGAAGAGAAAACAGTGTCTTGCTAGAGGTGCATTACCCGATGTTCATGTAAGGAATACTCCCTCTAAGAGACTAAAGAAATCTTCCTCGTTCTCTTCAACCAGCCTTCCTGCACTTTCTACTCCTACCAATCCTGAGTCTAGCAGAGAGGTTATAATTCTTTTCGTTGCTTTGTCACTGTTATCAAATATCAGATTTTCCATATTGGTGTTCTTTTGTGTTGCAAAACTCAGCTTTGCAGTCACTGGGTTTTGTAGTAATCCATGTTATGTAGAAATTGACAGTTGCATTTTTCTAATGTTGTTCAGAACGGTGTTGATGGCCACACAACAGAAACAGCTAGGTTTGTAGTTGGTGCAGAGGAGCCAAAGGTGACTAACATTCTCCCTATTGCCTTTCTATTCATTTGATTGTGTCACGTTCACAAGTGTGTGTGTGTCGTTTAGCAGTATATGCATCCTCTTGGCAACTTACTGATGGGTGGCCTTTTATTGCATCATAATTTTATTCTCCAGGTTGATAATGATCTGCAGACCCTTATAGAAACCGATAGTGGGCAGGTTGAGGAGACAGTGAAGAAATATTCTGATGAATTTTCTACAACAGTAATTTTCTGAAATTCTTTCTTTCCCAATACTGGAAAGCCCGATCAAACTGCGTCTTTTCATTCATATTGGTAATATCACAATTCATATCAGGAATATGAAATTTATATTTCTGATGTGATGTTTGTTTTTCAGCTAGGGCACATGGAGCAGCAGCTTGAAAAACTTCTTGATACTGTGATGTCCTCGTGCAGGTACTTTTACAACGTAACCCAAATTTAGATTTTTGTTCCGTGAAATTGTGAACAAGAGAATTGGTTGGGGCAGTTGTATGTTTAAACGTAATTCCAAATTCCATTGAATTGACTGCAACTGTTAACTAATTTTCCAGGCCTATGACCCTTGGTGAGAAACACAAGCTTGGAAAACTGATTCAGAAGTTACCACCGAAAAATCTTGACCATGTTGCGGAAATGATCCAGCATAGGAATGCAGCTTATACAACTTCACCTGATGAAATTCGTGTGGATCTTGAAAGACAGGTAATGCGATGCACAGTTATCTGGTTTACGACCTTAATTAAAATTTCAACACCTTTCTAAAGTTGTATTTTTACTTGCAGAGTAATATAACACTTTGGAGACTGTATTATTATGTTGAAGCAGTCGAGAAAGCTAGAAAGCTCGCCAAGTACGAATCCAGTGGAAGTTCACTGAATCAGGGCTGACCTTTTCGTTCGCTAAATGAAGATAGCAGTCATCAGTTGTACCCAACGCTGTATGGTTTAGACGATCATTCTGTCCCGTCTGCACACTTTTGAGTGTTCCAGATAAGTCTACTTTTTGAGACCAGAAAGGATAAAGGAGAAGCCTACACTTAACCTACAAAATTTTGGTAAAATTACGCAACATTTGCGCGTATATCCTGACCTGCGAATTTGATGTTGCGCGTATATCCTGACCTGTGAATTTGATGATTTGGACCGTTATAGCGCAGAAGCGCACTCTTGTTGGAGCACCCCAAGGCTTGAGACAAATGCGAGATGGAGTTTTGATGACGATTTTTTCGTTTTTACAATTGTAATTGGCTTCATTTTGTGCACAGCTTGGGTAGGACTCATATTTTGTACATCTTTTACTGTATACTGACCAGAGAAAGTTATGAAATCTAAGTTTTGGGACAGCTCTGAGAAAGCTCATTTCATCAACTTATTTATAGAAAGGTTTTTTAGTCAAAATGGTCCATGAGATTTGTATAACACATCACTTTGGTTTCTGAGATTTGAAATCAATAGAAGTGGTCCATGAGATTGTCCACCATCAATCATTTTGATCATTCCGTGCAAAATTATGTTAAGGATCAAAATGACAAATATACTCTCAATTTAATAACCAACAGGCCAAAATGATTTGGCAAAAATTGAGGGTATTTTGATAATTTTATCCTTATTTAATGGAGGTTTTCACAAAATGACCAAAATGATTGATGATAGGCAATCTCAAGACAAATTCTATTGATTTCAAATCTTAGAGACCAAAGTGAAGAGTTATACAAATCTCAGACAACATTTTAACTAAAAAGCCTTAATAGAAATGTACCAAACAACGATATTAATCAGATGAGAGCGAGAATTGCATTGGATTGACAAGAGTGAGAACAATACAGGCCATACTGTTGTCGACGTGCAAGAGATACAAAATAATAACCTATCTACATAAACCTTGGATCCCTAAAAGAAAATTTCTCGTCAAAGAAGAAACATACCCAGGATCCCCACCCGAAACTAAGCACGAATCTTGAAGAGCTCATACAATTATCTTGTTAAATTCAAAATGAACGACGCCTTGGTCGCTCTTCAGCAACGTTTACTCGGATTGATCTGCCATCCAAACTCTGCACGGCAAATAGAGAACGAGATCAAAGACTCCGAGAACTAATCGAGAGGCATCAAGATAACAATACTCAATCAGTTGCAAGGTGACTTCATTTACATCTATGCAACATCTAAAAACCTAAACCCTAAAACCTAATGAATTGAGTAATAGACTAAAATCTATGTCGTTTTCGTTTTCAGTTTCAATACTCAACTGAACAAGGCAAATCTATTACCTGTCCATCAAGGGCAGCAATGGCATTGTCCACTTCTGTCTCGCTAGAGAATGTAACGAACCCAAACCCACGTGAACGCCCTGATTCCCGGTCATAAACTACCCTGGCACTGACCACGTTTCCATGTTCACTGAAAACCTGCTCCAAACGAGAATCATCCACTTGCCACGGAAGATTACCAACATAGATTCTGAATGAAGGCTCATTCGTTCGAATGGGTCTTTCAGGGCGTGACCCTCTAGGAGCAGCCTTGTTTACAGTCAAAGCCCTCCCACCTATATCCTGTGAAGGAACAAATGGAACATTAACACACTCACTCGGTTTAAGCAAGAGTAGGAAACTTAACAAGCCTATCCTAAGCAAATTTGCACGAAAACAAGTCCATCGGGAATTATTTCAAAACTCATTCCTCTGCTCGATTTGGCGAAGTTAAACATGCGACTAAATGATTGCTGGAATTGAATCAATGTTATACCGCTTTGTAATTGGAAACCAAATGTATCAACACGCATGCTTTTGCTACATTTCTACTCCCTAAAGTTGAGCAATTTGAACATGATATAGTTCCATTTTCGATACACAAAACCGAAACAAAGATTCCCAACTTACGTAGCGGTGGAACATCTCCACAGCCTTCTCAGCTTCTTCAACAGTGCTCATAGTCACAAACCCAAATCCTCGGCTCTGATCAGTTTCCCTGTTGTAAATCACCTGGTCATTGCAAACAGAAAACAGTAACTCCAATGCTGCAATTTTAACCGCGAAATCGAACACAGAGAGCGAAAAAAGAGACGAAATTTACCTCAGCAATCTCAACAACTCCAGCATCATTGAAAAGATTAGCAAGTTTTTCACTGTCAACGTCATAAGGCAAATTACCCACAAAGAGCTTGGCCTCCTCCGGCGGCTCGGGATAGTATTCCTCTTCTCCGACCGCCAAAACTCCGTCGCCGGAGCTCTCCTCTGCTCCCTCCTCCTCTGCGCTTTCGGCCTCTTCTTTCAATTCTTCCTCCTGAGCCCAGTCGGAGGTCTGAGCCACGCGGAGGAGAGGCAAAGACTTGTGCTTTAGAGAGAGAAACGAGGAGAGTGAGGGAGTGAAGGAGCAGGAGATTTGTGAGAGCTTGGTGGGTTTTGAGGGGAGTGAGAGAATTGGGTATTGGTTTTGGAGGGCGAATAGGGCGGGTGGCACCGCGGCGAGGCAGGTTTCGGAGCTTGATAGTGGCTTCAGAAGAGTGGCGGTTGCAGAAGCCATGGCTGGAAGGAGATAGAGAGAGAGAGAGAGAGAGGGGGGGGGGAGAGAGAGGTGGAGGAGGGGATAAGGAATGAGAGAAGGGTTTGGTTGGGTTACATTAGAGACCAGGATGGTCCAAAGATTTGCAGGTGAAGATATTTTCTTTATTTTCGACGAAAGCAAAGCTGTAAAAGAAACGTTTCTGTACGTATTTAATATTATTTTCACGAGCAAACGGATTTAGTTAAATCTCAACCGTTCGTAGTAATAAGTAATGCTAGTGACTCAATTTGAAGATTAAATTTTGAAAATAAAAAGATATTGAAGTTGAGTGATTAGTTTATTACTTAAGCGTTAATAAACATGCTTATTTCTAGTAGTGACACATTATTTAATTTGTAATTTTAGTTTCCAAATTAAGTTTTTCTAGCAGTACTCATTTAATATTATACTTTCAACTGTACATATTTGCTTAGTCGAGTGGACTAGAGTATTAGCTTCCTTCTATGGAAATGAGATCCTTTTCGGATCTTTGTGTCCGAAGTCCGCAAGCCGAGAGATCTTAGTCGTTTAATAGAGGAAGAAAGAGATTTGGACCGTTTAAATTTCTAAATTTTTGTGAGGTGGGCAAGTGAGATGAGCTAATGGGGACTATAGGATTGACATTGAGTAGTTCGAATCTCTCGGTTTGTGGACTCCAGTCACGGAGATCCGGAGTGGATTTCGATCCCCTTCTATACAACTGAATTGAACATAAAATATCGCATCATCGTTTATATGAAATAAATAAAAAGGATAGTTAAATTGGCGATCCTCTCTCTCTGCATTCCAGTTCGAATTTTCTCACCAAATCATCTTATTCAAGTTTTTCTTTTCCAAACTTTCTAGAACAGAAGGATTTTGAGCACTTTGTTAGTGACTCATTCTTTGGAAGAAAAACCATCACAACTACATGTAGAAAATTACGACAACGTCTTGCATTTGATTTCATTATATTAATATCATAATTGATTACAAGCTTACACTACTAGGTTGGACAATAAAGTCTACATCTGCGTGCCTATGCTCAATTTCATAGCGAATGGTCCAATGTTGTAATTAATCATTTGTAGAAAAATGCTAAAGAGATTCTCTTAAAGTAAGACTCTTTGTGAACTCTTTACTAGCTCACAATTTAATGTTAATTTTCGTTCCAACATCATAAAGTATTGTGCTAAAAACGTGAGGCAAACACTTTCAAGAGAATCTCCTTAACATTTCTCATCATTCATATACAGGTTTGAAGTTCTTGTAAGCTACCACTGCATAAAATGGATCAGAACCAGACAACAACCCCAGGAAGCCCATAAACCAACCGAGTGGTGATTTGCTTTGTGAACCACCACCACCACCATTAGCATCTGGTAATTTCTTAATTACTTCAGCTTGTGTGAAACCTTCCACAGATTGGAAGTACTGCACAACCAACTGCGTCCTGCTGTACGCAGTCCCATCTCTCCATGCCCCAATGGCTTTCTCATAGAACAACCGATTGCTAAAGCTCACAATAAACACCCCTCCTGGCCTCAGAACCCTAAAAACCTCTGCAAACACCTGTAATATCATAACGTTGAGAAATTATTGTGAGGTATATATTGAAAACAAATACGTGATATCACTAATTGCCCATGTTATATTATATTATGTGGATTGGTTGTTACTATTACACCTTAAAACATAAATTTGTTGTCCGTCCATATATTTTTTTTTCCAAAGTCCGTCCATATTATAACGCATGAATTGATTAACAATTTTCTGCTGGTAATTGTTATAATATGTGGCCAGTTAATACTACGTATTATACCTCAGAATATAAACGTCTCCTTCAACGACATTATAGCACATGAATTAGTTGTACAAATTTAACCGACTCATGGTCTAACCGATCCAATCCTATTATAAAATGTGGACCGCTTATTACTACTATACCCTAAACAATAAACTCATTGTCCGCTATATTATAACATATGAATTGGCTCTCCCAATTTTTATTGGGCACATGGTACAACCAACCCTATCATCATATCATAATATGTGGACATGCTATCACTAGAATCACTACTATACCCTAAAACATAAAACCGTCGTTTGTTTATACTATAACAGTATTAATCCGTCGTTTGTTTATCTTATAACACTTGAATTAGTTATGCCACGCTAATGTAATCCTGAAATCAAAGCTTTAAATTATTAATGTAACAAAAGGAAGCACAATCTAACCTTCTCAGGCTGTTGAAGATACTGCACACTGACTGTACACAACACTGCATCAAAACTGCAGCTCTCCAACTCAAGCTTCTGATCCTGGTTCAGATCCTTGACAAAAAAGTAATCCAACCTAGGGTTCTTGGCAAGCTCCTGTGCATTGAGCCCATGTCCCACAACTTTCTTGTACTCAACTTTTTTCGGCAAATGGCTGATCCACGAACTCATAAGATCAAGAATCTCTGAGCCAGGCCTCAGCCTCTGCCTGTAGAAATTGGTCAGTGTGGCAATGAAGCCGTCATCGACATGCGTCACGAATCGCGGATAAGCGTAGAAGTCTCTGTCCGGATAAGTGTTGAGTTTTGCTCTGCCCTCTTGGGGAAGAACAAGACGTTTGATCTTGCCAGCTAAGGATGAAGATGGTTTACTGGTTTCATTGTTTTCACTTGAAGAAGTGCAGGAGATTGTTGATGGAAGTAGGAAAGGTTTGGTCTTATGGTTGCTTGTAAGAAATGGATGCCATGGTTTGAGGTTTGGATGAATTGTGACCATATCTTTGACAATTGTTGATTGAATGACTGAAGTTTTCCCAACAACCAATTTGGGTTTTGATAAGAAGGAAACAAAAATTCCAATTTGGGCTTGTTGGTATATGGTCCAGCCCATGATCAATGTTCTAGATTATTCTAGTAAGCAAGAGATGAGGCTGGAGCTTGCTAGACAATTCTAGCATGTTATTAAGTTGATGGAAAAAGCTAGAGAGTACTAGCTTCCTTGGTTGCAAATGGAAAGATCTAGAAGCTACAAGTATATGGCTAGTCTAGATTTTTCTATACTAGAGGTTTGAAGAAGGAACTAGAAACTAGTAGAATGCCAAGCCCTCACCTATAAATATGGGTGTGATGTAACCAATTGAGAACCAAGAGTGAGTAGCAAAGGATCAAGTCCAAAGCTAGAGTTCCACTCCAAGAGTGAGAGTGAGAGTGTTCCACTACACATTGTGTGTGAGTGAAGTTTAGAGTGATAGAAAGTGTGTGTGTATATACTTTCTTGTATCCATCAAGCCTTGTCTTTGGCTTGGTAAGACTACTCTTGTTGTTGTATTTCATCTTTTTCATATAGTGAAGAAGATTGATCCTTGTTTGGTGGACGTAGGCATAAATTGCCGAACCACATAAATTCTTGGTGTCTCCATTTTCTACTTTACCTAGTGCATTCTCTATCTTGTAGTACCGACATTCCTAACAAGTGGTATCAGAGCCAGGTTGGCTCGTACTGCGAGATGGAAGGAAGTGGCACTATGATCAAACTCACCAACTCCAATTGGGTAACATGGAAGCCAAGGATGGAGGACATTCTCTATTGCAAGGATCTGCATGAGCCAATTGAAGGAGATGCCGCTAAGCCAGAGAGCATGTCCGATGCCGAGTGGAAGAAGATGAATCGCAAGGCTATTGGCACAATTAGACAATGGGTGGATGATAGTGTGTTTTTCACCATGTGTCTAATGAAACCAATGCTCGCGAGTTTTGGACAAAGCTTGAGTCCTTGTTCGAGAAGAAGACTCCAGTTAAGAAAGCCTTCTTGATCAAAGAGCTCATCAATGTGAAGTACAAGGATGGTTTAAGTGTAGCAGAACACTTGAACAATTTCCAGAATATCATCAACCAGTTGGCTACTATGAAAATGACGATCGAGGACGAGCTACAAGCGCTCTTGTTACTTGGATCCTTGCCAGACAGTTGGGAGACCTTTGTGGTGAGTATAAGTAACTCTGCTTCTAATGGTGTTCTTACCCTTGATAATGTTTAAAAATAGCATGCTCAATGAAGAAACAAGGAGAAAGACTTCTGGCACAGATAGCAGCCAAGTATTTGTCACAGAGAACCGCGGAAGAAGCAAGAGTAGAGGGCCTAGAGGTCATGGCAGGAGTCCTAGCCGATCCAAGTCAAGGTTCAGGGGCGCATGCCACCATTGTGGCAAAGAAGGCCATATGAAGAAAAATTGTCGAGTTTGGAAGAGAGAGCAAAGGGAAGGAAATAATCAGAAGAAAGATGATACTGGCAATACCACTGCTGTCATATGTGGTGATGTACCAGAAATATTGTCTGTTGGTGAATGTCTGCATATGGGCAACTCTGACAGAGACATTGAATGGATCTTTGACAATGGAGCTTCCTTCCATGCTACGTCCAAACGGGAGTTCTTCAGTACATACAAAGAAGGTGACTTTGGCATAATGAAGATGGGGAATGAAAGCTATTCCAAAATTCTTGGAATTGGTGATATATGTCTAAGAACTAATCTCGGCTGCCAATTGATGTTGAAAGATGTGAGACATATTCCTGATATACGTCTCAATCTGATATCCATCGGTACCCTTGATCGACAAGGATATTATCACCATATTGGCGAAGGAAAATTGAAGCTTACTAAAGGCTTAATGGTGGTAGCAAGAGCACGACTTTGTTGTACGTTGTACCGGTCAAATGCCAAGGTTTTGAAAAGGTGAGTTGAATGCTGTGGAGGACTCATCTCTAGACTTGTGGCATAAGAGGCTAGGTCACATGAGCGAGAAAGGCCTACAGGTTTTGGCAAAGAAGTCTCACATTCCCTTTGCCAAAGGTACGTCGTTAAACTCTTGTGAGCATTGTTTATTCGGAAAACAAAGAAGAGTTAGTTTTTTCTGTTCCATCTACAAAGAAAGGAAACTTGTTAGATCTTGTTTATTCAGATGTGTGTGGTCCCATGGAAGTCGAGTCACTTGGAAGAAATAAATATTTTGTTACTTATATTGATGATGCTTCACGAAGGGTGTGGGTGTATTTGTTGAAATCCAAAGACCAGGTGTTTCAGACATTCCAGGAGTTCCATGCCATGGTGGAGAGGGAAATTGG